TACGCGAGGAATTGGTATAAATGACTTTTGTGTGTTGCATCAATATTGGTAATTTCAGATGCTATATGTTTATATTCATTTAGATTGCAGACGAGTGAGATAGATGAATTCAATCTCAACTTCTCTTATTAAATTTTCTCTGACTTATTTGCTGTTATTATTTGACTTTAACACAACGCAGTATAAATTATCAAAATCCATTATGAATCAGATTGAATATCCTTGTATATATGTTGTTTGAGATAAAACTATCTATTGAATTGAAGTTGTTCCTCGTGGGATCGACACTTTCACTTAAAAATCATTATATTACAGTTGACTATTGGTACACTTGCCAAAAGATTCAACAAGGAGAATATAATCCAAGGAAATTTGCTGCTTTTGTATTGCACGAGGAGTTGAGCATGAAGTAATGCACCTTACACACCACAACATATTGCCTTGGCTGAAATGAGGAATAAAACCTTGCTGAATATGACAAGATGCATGCTGAAAGGCAAGGGTTTTCCACATTGTTATTAGAGTGAGGGAGTCACTACTACTGCTTATATCCTAAATAAGTATCCAACGAAGAAATTGAAGTTAGTGACATATACTAGATGAGAGGAGAAAGAAATTGGATGAAAAAAGTGAAGCACTCATACTGTTTGGTAACCACCCTACTAGTGCCTACAGACTGGATGACAAATTTTGATGACGCACTCACTTACCAGTTTACTTAATGTAATGAGTTCACTCTCATGGATAAAGTGTAATACTTCTACACTTGTATGTGGTTCCCTACCATGCAACCAAGAAAATCTAACAACCTCAAACATCTTTTCCTTATGTTTTTAACCACCTTTTTCAAGGGGGTAAAAGTTCTGGTGTACAAGTTAATTTTAACTTGTGAAACAATTTTTATTCTTCTTTGTTCTTTATTATCTTCTTATATAAGGGGCTTTAATTCATTTTTTGTTCTTTATGAAATCAAAACACACAAACAAATACTAATGCCTATCATTGCATACATTTAACATCGTTGCAACATAGAGACATCAGTTTCTAAAGTTCATCGTTCTAAAAGACAGAACACACGACAAGACCCCTCGATAGCCGCCCTCAATAATGGCAATCTTCGTAGATCACAATAGCGGCACCAGGCACCCTCACATCAGGCAACACCTTGCTCACGACACCGTCAATGCAACACGACTAAAATAAATGGAGGTTGTCAAAGTGAAGCGCAATATAGGTATTGGAAGAGAAGAGGGCAATTGGGGACTAAAAGAAACTGAGGTTAGGGAAGAGCAGAGTTGAAGGGAAATGAAGGTTAGGGAATATCAAATGAAAATGGAGGTTGGGGCAGAGCAATAGACGTGTAAACAACAGAGAAGACAACTTTTTTTCAAAGTCAAATTGGGGGAGGAAAATGCCAAATTCTGATTTGATTTCCTTGAAACACATACCAACGGTCACAATCCATCGATAATGACTCATGTGTTTTATCGAGGGTCATAATTGATAAGTGTGAAAAAGAGTTGTTTTTACACTTATAAATGATCTTAATCTTATAATTATTCATGTTATTACTCAATGAAAAGTTGTAATAGGAAGTTGATTGTTATGTAAATTATTGTACAGGAAAGGGTGTATAATTTGGAGTCTGTCCGCAAATTCTCGTATAGTGCAAGCCAAAGTTCGCACAGCTAGAAAAAGGAAATTCGCATAGCGCACCAGTACCTGTGCGCTAAGCGAATAACAACAGTTGAAGTGCAGCAGTTAAAGAAAATTCGCACAGCGCACACACACATGTGCGCTGAGCGAATTAATTAAATTAAGTGGCTTAAAAAGACGTGATAGAAAAGCAGAAATCATCTTTTGACACACGAAAAAAGCTAGAGAAAATACTGGAGAATTCAGGAGACGATCAGGAGACCTTTCCAGACATCAGGACTTCACTTTCTGCAAGGAATTGCTGTAAAGAGTACATTTGAGATGTCTAGGATAGGCTAAATTTTCTGTTCATTGGAATTGGTTGTATGACGACACATTAATGTAAATTTCCTGTGCAATATATGTTTTTGTTCTTGTTCTTTTCTTGACTTGCTTTTGATTATACGGAAGTATTATTCTCTTTAAAAGTTCTTTTGTATTGGGAAGTATTTTTAGAACCAGAAACGTAAGAAAAGAAATTAAAAGTAACTATAATAGGAATAGCTTCTGTGCTTTTGGTCATTCTCAACATCTGAATTTAATGCAAAAATTATCTGATGAATTAATTAAGGAATTAATAATTCAATAGATAATTTTAGACATTGTTTTAAGGATACTCTTATGTGAATGCTTGAACAGAGAATATATGTTGTCCAGGATTTTACTGTAATGTTAGTTAAAGACCAATTCCAGTGATCTTTTATCGCATTTTTCAATCTTAATTTCTTACGTAGTTAATTTCATGCTAAATTCCAAATTAAAATTACCAATGTTATCATCAGTAATTGATCTTGATAAATAATTTTAATTGAATAACACAACTCAAATTCCCTTGGGAGAGCGATACTCTTAACTTAATTCACTGTATTACTTGAATGATTTGGTATACTTGCCAAAAAGTTATCAAGTTTTTGGCGTCGTTACCGGGGATTTTGATTGTTATTGTTATTTCAATTATTCATCGTTTATCAATTTCAATTCTGTTCCATTATCTGTAAATCCATTGTTTTTAATTTTTGTATATTTGTATATATACGTTGTGTTTTGTTTCTGTTGTTATTTCTTTGGGTTGATATCTTGAGATTGTTGTTCTGCATGAGAAGGAGAACGAAATCTGAAAATTTATTGTTTGATTCTGAGATTGAGAGAACAACCCGTAGGAATAACAGTAGACGCAGGAGAGAAAATAGAAAAAAAAAGCTAGAGAAGTTAGCTTGTCTGCTACTTCCAGCACTATTTCTTCTTCTGATAAAAAGGATAAGGATATGGAGGGAAATAATGAGGATGAACAACCAAGAGTTAGGCGTACGTTGGAAGATTATGCTTCTGTGTCTATACCTTCATCTTTCAACAGTATAGCCCGACCTAAGGTGAATGCTGCTCATATGGAAATGAAGCCAACACTGATTCACCTTGTTCAAAGTAACCAGTTTACAGGACTGTCACACGAAAATCCCTACGATCATCTGACAACGTCTAATGATATTTGTAATACTGTAAAAATGTTACATGTGCTAGATGAAGAAATCAGACTGAGTCTCTTTCCGTTCTCATTAGCTGGAAATGCCAAGCTTTGGCTAAATTCTTTTCCTGAGGGAAGTCTGATTGTTTGGGATGACGTTGTGGCAAAGTTTTTGCATAAATATTTCCCCCAATCCAAGATAAATAAAGGCAAACAAGAAATATCCTCCTTTCAACAAGAGCCTGAAGAGTCGTTGAGTCAAACATGGGATAGGTTCAAGGGGTTGATGAGAAAAACTCCAATTCATGGGTTTGACGTTCCCACTCAATTAAACCTTTTCTTAGGAGGTTTAAAATCTCACACAAAGCTTATGCTAGATGCCTCAACTGGAGGTAACATTAGGTGGAAGACACCTGATGAGGCACATGAAATAATTGAAAATATGGCATCTAGTGATAATGATGTCCAAAGTTAGAGAGTGCAAACGCAAAAGAAAGGCATGTTTGAATTGGAATCCCAAGATGCATTGTTAGCCCAAAATAAAATCATGAATCAACAGCTTGAGTCTTTGATGAAAAAGTTGTCACAACTACCAAAGGAACTCCAAACTGTATCACAGACACAACATCATTAAACTGTGCAAGGTTGTGAACTATGTGGTGGAGAGCATCAAAATGGACAGTGTGCTATTCAGTCCAATGCTAAGGAAGAGGTAAATTATATGGGTAATCAAGGTCGTCCAGGCAATTATGGAAATTATAATCAAGGATGGAGATCTCATCCTAGCATGAGTTAGGTTAGTTCTAGTAGACCACCACAACAACAGTTTCAACAACAACCTACTCTTTCTAATAGGACATCCAAACTGGAAGAAACTCTTCAACAATTCATGCAAATATCCATATCAAATCAAAAGAGCACAGACGCTTCTATAAGGAATTTAGAAGTTCAAATGGCGCGATTGGCAAAGAAATTAGAAGATAAGCCTGTAAATACATTTGGAGCTAACACTGAACCAAATCCAAAAGAGCATTGCAAAGCTATAACTACAAGGAGTGATAAAGTGTTAGAAAGTGTAGTTGTAAAGAAGGAGGATGAAAAGAAAAAATCAAGTGAAGAGCAGGATGAGAAAGAAGAGAAAGTTGAGGAAGAAGAAGATAAAAAGAAGGAAGTGGAAGAGTGTCATAAAGGAAAGCAAGTTTTGAATCTTTTACCGTATCCAAAGACTTATTCTAGAAAGGAAAAGGAAAGTCAATTTTCTAGATTCATGGCTCTCTTCAAAAAGCTGGAAATCACAATTCCCTTTTTAGAAGCACTTCAACAAATACCCTCTTATGCTAGATTTATGAAAGATTTGTTGACAAAGAAGAGAAAATATATTGAGGAAGAAACAATTGAGGTGTAAGGGAATTGTAGTCCCAACATCCAAAAACTTCTACCACCAAAATTTAAAGATCCTGGAAGTTTTACTATTCCATGCACAATTGGAAAACTCCCCATTGGAAAAGCATTGATAGACTTAGGTGCAAGTATCAATTTAATGCCTTTGTCTATGTTAAAGAAAATTGGGGACATGGAAGTAAAACCAACAAGGATGACACTCCAACTAGCAGACAGGTCTGTCAAGTATCCATATGGAGTTATTGAAGATGTTTCAGTGAAAGTTGACAAATTCACTTTTCCAGTGGATTTTGTTATTCTAGATATGGAGGAGGATACTGAAGTCCCCCTTATACTTGGAAGACCTTTTATGAAAACTGCTAGGGTGATAATTGATGTTGATGATTGTCATCTAAAGGTGAGGTTACATGATTAAACAGTTACCTTTAATGTAGTGGAAGCTATGCAACACCCCAAAGATAGAGGAAACTGTTTCAGAGCTGAAGTTTTGGATGATGTGGTTGAGAAAGTGAGAAGTCAAATGTATGTGAAATCTCCCTTAGAGCGTGTCTTGATAAATTCATGTGAGGAACTTACTTTAGAAGAAGAATCTGAACTAGAGGAGATTTCACAACATTTGGAAAGATTGAAAGAAGAGAAATCCACTGATGTGAAAGTGGAAAAATTAGAAAAGGCTAACTTAGATGATCAGGAAAAGATGGAATTAAAAATGCTTCTTGATCATCTTAAGTATGTGTTTTTAAAGGAAAATTCCAAGAAACCTGTGATCATAAGCAATTCTCTATCAAGGAGTGATGAAGCAAAATTGGTTGAAATCTTAAAAGAGAATAAAAAGGCAATAGGTTGGCATATTTCTTATTTGAAAGGTATAAGTCCAACGTATTGCATGCATAAGATTATGATGGAAGAGGACTAAAAACCCATAGCACAACCACAGAGGAGATTGAATCCAAATTTGAAAGAGGTGGTGAGAAAGGAAGTACTTAAATTGCTTGAAGCAGGAATGATATATCCTATCTCTGATAGTGCTTGGGTAAGTCTTGTGCATGTTGTTCCTAAGAAAGGGGGTATGACTGTTGTTCAAAATGATAAGAATGAATTAATTCCTACAAGAACAGTCACAGGGTGGAGAATGTGTATTAATTATAGAAAATTAAATCAAGCCACCAGGAAGGACCATTTTTCTCTCCCTTTTATGGATCAAATGTTGGAAAGGCTGGCAGGACAAGCCTACTATTGTTTCCTGGATGGGTATTCCAGGTACAATCAAATAGTAGTAAATCTTGAAGACCAAGAAAAAACTGCTTTCACTTGTCCCTTTGGTGTGTTTGCATACCGAAGGATGCCATTTGGTCTATGTAATGCTCCTACTACATTTCAACGTTGCATGCTAGCCATTTTTGTTGATCTTGTTGAGAATTGCATAGAAGTTTTCATGGACGATTTCTTAGTCTTTGGCAAATCATATGATTTATGCTTGCAGAACCTGGATGTAGTCTTGAAAAGATACATTGCCACGAACCTTGTGTTGAATTGGGAAAAATGTCATTTTATGGTTCGTGAGGGGATTGTCTTAGGACATAAGATCTCATCCAGGGGGATAGGTTNTCCAGCACTATTTCTTCTTCTGATAAAAAGGATAAGGATATGGAGGGAAATAATGAGGATGAACAACCAAGAGTTAGGCGTACGTTGGAAGATTATGCTTCTGTGTCTATACCTTCATCTTTCAACAGTATAGCCCGACCTGAGGTGAATGCTGCTCATATGGAAATGAAGCCAACACTGATTCACCTTGTTCAAAGTAACCAGTTTACAGGACTGTCACACGAAAATCCCTACGATCATCTGACAACGTCTAATGATATTTGTAATACTGTAAAAATGTTACATGTGCTAGATGAAGAAATCAGACTGAGTCTCTTTCCGTTCTCATTAGCTGGAAATGCCAAGCTTTGGCTAAATTCTTTTCCTGAGGGAAGTCTGATTGTTTGGGATGACGTTGTGGCAAAGTTTTTGCATAAATATTTCCCCCAATCCAAGATAAATAAAGGCAAACAAGAAATATCCTCCTTTCAACAAGAGCCTGAAGAGTCGTTGAGTCAAACATGGGATAGGTTCAAGGGGTTGTTGAGAAAAACTCCAATTCATGGGTTTGACGTTCCCACTCAATTAAACCTTTTCTTAGGAGGTTTAAAATCTCACACAAAGCTTATGCTAGATGCCTCAACTGGAGGTAACATTAGGTGGAAGACACCTGATGAGGCACATGAAATAATTGAAAATATGGCATCTAGTGATAATGATGTCCAAAGTTAGAGAGTGCAAACGCAAAAGAAAGGCATGTTTGAATTGGAATCCCAAGATGCATTGTTAGCCCAAAATAAAATCATGAATCAACAGCTTGAGTCTTTGATGAAAAAGTTGTCACAACTACCAAAGGAACTCCAAACTGTATCACAGACACAACATCATTAAACTGTGCAAGGTTGTGAACTATGTGGTGGAGAGCATCAAAATGGACAGTGTGCTATTCAGTCCAATGCTAAGGAAGAGGTAAATTATATGGGTAATCAAGGTCGTCCAGGCAATTATGGAAATTATAATCAAGGATGGAGATCTCATCCTAGCATGAGTTAGGTTAGTTCTAGTAGACCACCACAACAACAGTTTCAACAACAACCTACTCTTTCTAATAGGACATCCAAACTGGAAGAAACTCTTCAACAATTCATGCAAATATCCATATCAAATCAAAAGAGCACAGACGCTTCTATAAGGAATTTAGAAGTTCAAATGGCGCGATTGGCAAAGAAATTAGAAGATAAGCCTGTAAATACATTTGGAGCTAACACTGAACCAAATCCAAAAGAGCATTGCAAAGCTATAACTACAAGGAGTGATAAAGTGTTAGAAAGTGTAGTTGTAAAGAAGGAGGATGAAAAGAAAAAATCAAGTGAAGAGCAGGATGAGAAAGAAGAGAAAGTTGAGGAAGAAGAAGATAAAAAGAAGGAAGTGGAAGAGTGTCATAAAGGAAAGCAAGTTTTGAATCTTTTACCGTATCCAAAGACTTATTCTAGAAAGGAAAAGGAAAGTCAATTTTCTAGATTCATGGCTCTCTTCAAAAAGCTGGAAATCACAATTCCCTTTTTAGAAGCACTTCAACAAATACCCTCTTATGCTAGATTTATGAAAGATTTGTTGACAAAGAAGAGAAAATATATTGAGGAAGAAACAATTGAGGTGTAAGGGAATTGTAGTCCCAACATCCAAAAACTTCTACCACCAAAATTTAAAGATCCTGGAAGTTTTACTATTCCATGCACAATTGGAAAACTCCCCATTGGAAAAGCATTGATAGACTTAGGTGCAAGTATCAATTTAATGCCTTTGTCTATGTTAAAGAAAATTGGGGACATGGAAGTAAAACCAACAAGGATGACACTCCAACTAGCAGACAGGTCTGTCAAGTATCCATATGGAGTTATTGAAGATGTTTCAGTGAAAGTTGACAAATTCACTTTTCCAGTGGATTTTGTTATTCTAGATATGGAGGAGGATACTGAAGTCCCCCTTATACTTGGAAGACCTTTTATGAAAACTGCTAGGGTGATAATTGATGTTGATGATTGTCATCTAAAGGTGAGGTTACATGATTAAACAGTTACCTTTAATGTAGTGGAAGCTATGCAACACCCCAAAGATAGAGGAAACTGTTTCAGAGCTGAAGTTTTGGATGATGTGGTTGAGAAAGTGAGAAGTCAAATGTATGTGAAATCTCCCTTAGAGCGTGTCTTGATAAATTCATGTGAGGAACTTACTTTAGAAGAAGAATCTGAACTAGAGGAGATTTCACAACATTTGGAAAGATTGAAAGAAGAGAAATCCACTGATGTGAAAGTGGAAAAATTAGAAAAGGCTAACTTAGATGATCAGGAAAAGATGGAATTAAAAATGCTTCTTGATCATCTTAAGTATGTGTTTTTAAAGGAAAATTCCAAGAAACCTGTGATCATAAGCAATTCTCTATCAAGGAGTGATGAAGCAAAATTGGTTGAAATCTTAAAAGAGAATAAAAAGGCAATAGGTTGGCATATTTCTTATTTGAAAGGTATAAGTCCAACGTATTGCATGCATAAGATTATGATGGAAGAGGACTATAAACCCATAGCACAACCACAGAGGAGATTGAATCCAACTTTGAAAGAGGTGGTGAGAAAGGAAGTACTTAAATTGCTTGAAGCAGGAATGATATATCCTATCTCTGATAGTGCTTGGGTAAGTCTTGTGCATGTTGTTCCTAAGAAAGGGGGTATGACTGTTGTTCAAAATGATAAGAATGAATTAATTCCTACAAGAACAGTCACAGGGTGGAGAATGTGTATTAATTATAGAAAATTAAATCAAGCCACCAGGAAGGACCATTTTTCTCTCCCTTTTATGGATCAAATGTTGGAAAGGCTGGCAGGACAAGCCTACTATTGTTTCCTGGATGGGTATTCCAGGTACAATCAAATAGTAGTAAATCTTGAAGACCAAGAAAAAACTGCTTTCACTTGTCCCTTTGGTGTGTTTGCATACCGAAGGATGCCATTTGGTCTATGTAATGCTCCTACTACATTTCAACGTTGCATGCTAGCCATTTTTGTTGATCTTGTTGAGAATTGCATAGAAGTTTTCATGGACGATTTCTTAGTCTTTGGCAAATCATATGATTTATGCTTGCAGAACCTGGATGTAGTCTTGAAAAGATACATTGCCACGAACCTTGTGTTGAATTGGGAAAAATGTCATTTTATGGTTCGTGAGGGGATTGTCTTAGGACATAAGATCTCATCCAGGGGGATAAGTTTAGATCAAGCTAAGGTTGATGTGATTGAAAAGCTACCACCTCCTACAAATGTGAAAGGGGTAAAAAGCTTTCTTGGACATGTTGGATTCTACAGAAGATTTATAAAAGATTTTTCTAAGATTGCTAAACCCCTTTGCAATTTGCTTGTGAAAGACACTCAGTTTGAGTTTGATGAGGAGTGTTTGAAAGCTTTTGAGATTTTGAAAGAGAAGCTAGTCACAACCCCTGTTGTAGTCGCACCAAATTGGACTCATGATTTTGAGTTAATGTGCGATGCTAGTGACTATGCCATTGGGGCTGTGTTGGGACAAAGACGTGGCAAAGTTTTTCATGTTATTCATTATGCCAGTAAAGTTCTGAATGGTGCACAATTGAATTATGCCACAACTGAAAAAGAATTTTTGGCAATTGTGTATGCTCTTGAAAAGTTTATACCTTATTTGATAGGGTCTAAAGTTATCATTTACACTGACCATTCAGCCATAAAATACTTACTGGCAAAGTCTGATTCAAAGCCACGTCTCATAAGATGAGTTTTAATGTTACAAGAGTTTGATCTTGAAATTAAAGACAAAAAGGGGAGCGAGAATGCATTGCTGATCATTTGTCTCGCCTCCTTAACACTGAGGTTACTGATAAAGAAGGAGAAATTAAAGGAGAATTTATTGATGAGCATCTGATGCTCATTCAACAGAGGCCATGGTTTGCAGATATGATAAATTTAAAGCTACAGGAATTCTCCCTGATGATTTGACTTGGCAGCAAAAGAAGAAGTTTCTACATGATTCCAAAGAATATCTTTGGGATGATCCTTATCTCTTCAAGTTGGGTGGTGACCACTTACTGAGGCGGTGTATCACAGTAGAGGAAGTTGCTGATATCCTATGGCATTGTCATAATTCGCCATATGGAGGACACTATAATGGAGAAAGGACAACCGCCAAAGTGCTTCAATCTGGTTTCTTTTGGCCAACCTTATTTAAAGATGCACATGCTCATGCAAAAGGTTGTGACAAATGCCAAAGAACTGGAAGCATTTCAAAAAGACATGAGATGCCACTGCAGGCTATTTTAGAGGTTGAAGTGTTTGATTGTTGGGGAATGGATTTTATGGGACCATTACCCTCTTCCTACAACAATGAATACATTTTAGTGACAGTGGATTATGTCAGTAAGTGGGTGGAAGCTACAACATGCCAAAAGAATGATGCTAAGACAATTGTTAAATTTCTCAAAAGACAAATCTTCTCAAGATTTGGTGTGCCTAGGATCCTCATAAGTGATGGAGGATCACATTTCTGTAACACTCAATTGGCTAAAGTTATCAATAATCCCTAGGTAATGATCATATCCTCCATCGAGGACATTAACAACAGATGTATTTGTCAGTAACTAACCATCCATATTCCATTAATAAATCCATCATTAAATGTATATTATCGAAAAACTGACATTCGTCGATAATTATATGTTGAAAATATATATTTTTACTTTAATATTTGAATGATATTAAATAGTAATTATGGTTTTGATTAGAAATTTTGGGATGTTAAGAAAAGCATAAGAAATTAATCAAATATATACTCTTGATTTGAAAAATAAATATTTATTAACATAAGGGATCAAATTTATAATAAGTTAAATTTGAAAAAAAAATATTTTGATTTTCTATCATAACTTTTTTATTTTCATTATCTTTTTTTCTTTTATCATACTTTCGGTAGCGGGTGCACATAAAGAAAAAATAATTAATGTTTTAGGCCAATTTTAGGAACACAAATGAGATATTGAACAATTAATTAGCGTAATTTGTTTTTAAAGTTATAGACTTTATTGGTACAACATCTGTTTTCTTTTTATAATAAAATATAATAAAATTATTATTATTGTTATTATTATAATTATAAAATTAAATATAAATCATTTTTATAATTTTATTAAAAATAATTTTGTTTATTTTGTAGATAGGTTTTTTAAAACATGGTCAGATAAAAAATAACGGTAAAATAAAAAAAAACGGTTATTTAAAATATAAAATTGACAAAAATAGTTAGTTTAATTTAGAAAACTTTTATTTAAAAAATAAAATTAAAAAAATGTTTACACCAAAAGAAAATCTCCTTTATATTCAGATATATTTTTTTCTACTTTTCAACAATCTTGAAAAAAGTATTCTTTAATGGGTATTTAGTTCTAAAAAAACAAGTTAAAGAGCAATATAATTTGTTCAATTTTCTTTCTAGGAATTTAAAATAAATTTACGGAGAATCTTATTGACAAATGAAATTGGTGAATATTATTTTAAGTTTAAATATTTAAAATAAATGTTCAATATCTTCTACAGAAGAATAATTTTTATAACATTGTTTTCGGTTTAAAAAATAAAAAAATTTCGTGTAAATTTTAATGCTTATATATTTATTAAAATTCAGCCCATCCTTTACAACAGGTACATCCTGTTACCTTCCCTGGTTCGGCTTGGTTCGATTTCCTCGCATGGAAATCATCAGTTTGAACTTATCCGTTTTTCTTTTCTTCAGATTTTGAACTCATAATTGATTTAAGATAAGCTAATATTTGAGAATAATTGGCTGAGGAACTGTTATCAGATAATGCTACAAACTTTGAAGAAATCTTTGAAGGAAACCTTCTCTTCTCTATAGTCTAAATTAAACCAGAAAGCACGTTTGTATCAGTTGTTAAATGTCCCAAACGGACTTCTCCATAGCAGAATCTCCATGTGGAAGGTGGTGGTGAAAGTGATTAATCATCTGTAACCTCTGATGGGTTAATGCTTCTAACTCCAAACTTTGCTGTTGTTCATGCAAACTCCCTGCTCTTGAAGTTGCACCCCCAACGCCCAAGAAATCATGGATCATTGTCATGTCAGCACCTCCAAACCTTGAAGCCCCCGTTGGATTTCCTTCTGATACATCTCTTCTACGAATGAAACTTGAACTACTAGCCCCAACCTCTTGTTCCACGTTCTTCATCACGCCTTGGTTGTGGTCACTTCCCATGAACATTGCACCGAAGATTCCCATATCACTGGTGTTGGAATCAAGCATTGCTGACATTTCTTGCTGCCCCTTGTGGACAAATTGGTTTGTGAATGCTCCAGCATCCCTAATCCCAGTCATGTGAGATTGATCATCAGGGTGCTGATCCGGATGATGGAAGGGGTCATAGGAAGAAGGACTATGATTGGGGTGAGGACCAATGATGCCACTAACAAAGCTTTTCTGCATCATGGTGGGAGAAGAGTTAATGGTATTATTGCTTGCAGCGGCACCCATTTGGGCTGCTTTCTGTAATAAAGCTGTGGCAGACATGTGAGCAGATGCAGCAGAGTTCTTGCTGTCTTGGAAGTAATTGAAAGTATGAGAGTTGTTGGAGCTGAGTTGAAGGGTGGAAGATAAGGGGAGTGACATGTTTTTTGGACCACCAAAGAGTGTACCTGAAGTGGTAGAGGACATGCAACCCCTCATGCTCATGGACTTAAATGGCATTGGGACAAGATGTTCTTGGGATAGGCTTTTGAGTGGGCTATTACTAGACTCGTAGCTGTTGTTGAATTCTGGTACTGCGTTGTTTGAACTAGTGCTTAGAGGCATTGTGGCCATGAGCTCCTGCAATTCATTTTGCAAGCTTGGTGTCATGCCAGTGCCACTCGTTAATGAAGGGTTTACTCGGTTGTTTTCTTCGGTTAATGCGTCACAAAAGGCCCTGTGTGTGATAAAGCTGTCTCTTCTGCAAGATTCAGATTAATAATGCATTGATGTACGAATTAGGTACTTTAAAAATGCTAGCCAACACTAAAAAGAAAGAATCTTACCATTTAGATGGGATCATTTTTTCTCTGTTGTTCTTTTATAGACAGCTAAAACAGACAAAATATCTTAAATTTAACTCCATGTGTTGCCATTTTGTATTTTGTAATTACAAAACAGTGTTGTGTTTTGACAAATTACTCAAAATTCAACTTTATTAAGAGTATACCTTTTTGAGTTGCATAAAGAGTTCTCGAACTTATATAGCAATCACTTTACGTAGTAAATATTTTATCAGGTCTAGTTTATATATATACAATTGACCTGAGATAGTTTAATACAAGAATTCTAAGAGTCTCTTTAAAGGATCATTAGAATATATTAAGAACTCGATATTAAAGTTAAAATTAGTCAAAAAAAATTTAAATCTTACTTGACACCACAGCTAAATAACTTCACAGTTGTTGCACCATCGGAAACAGTGCATGCAAAAAAAAAAGTGATGAGACATAGAAGAAAGAAAGAATGGACCACACCAAACGAATAGTAATGGAGAGTAAATGTTATCTGTCAAATCCAGTATGTGTTTTTATTTATGAGCACAAACTACCACGAAGCATAATGAAATGAAAAATATACGGAGCATAACAACACTTAGCTGTTTATATGCAACAATCAATGTCAACATGAACGTGATGGTCTCTTTAACCTCAAAAATGATGCAAAGGTTTGTAATTAAAATTAAAAATTGAAGGTTTGGTAATAATATATGTAAATGTAATGATACCTGGCAAATATGGTCCCACAATCACATTTGTATTCCCTGGTGCCACAGGTTTTGTGGTGGGCCTTCCAATCAGATTGGACTGCATATCTTTTAGAGCACTTGTCACATTTCCACTTTTTTTCACCATGTTTTCTGCTGTAATGTTTTTTTATGCCGGTGAGGTCTCCTAATGCTCGAGCTGGGTTGTGGTGGACGCATGAGGGCTCAGGGCACACATAAACCCTTTTCTTCACCTCGTTGCTTGCTCTTTGCCTCAGTTTCCATGGAAGATTGTGACCTCTGCGGTGCAACTGAAGGTTTTGGTCCCTCTGAAACCCTTTGTTGCAGATCTCACAAACGAATCTATTTGTTGCCATTAATGTGGTTGGTGATAAAGCAATAACTTCAGCATTCGGATCTGTTTCATAAACTTCATCACTTTAATTTCCCCACTAATATTCATAGACCTCTTACATGTTACTACTTTTGTTTTATGTTCTTTTGCTTTAGCCAACTAATTGTCATAATCTTTTGGATTACTCCAACTACTAAAATCGTGAAAAGACTGAGCAAGTCAAAGAAGAATGAAAATGAATTCGAATAAGGAAATTTTCATGTTGGTTATTAATAGGTTGTTGCAGTAGTATTGAAATAAAAAATATATTAAGTTCAATAGTTTTTCATACTTGTAAAATTCTCACTAATAATGCACACCAAACCTTCTGTTCAACCATAATTCAACGTATTTACAAGGACTGCCTAGTAACTAGAGTTTGACCAGTAGAGTACAGCTAGCAATGCACCATTACAACTTCAAATTAAGCAAATTGAACAAGTCAAAAACACTTGGACTTCTTTAGTTTTAATTTTAGTTTCCTTAATCACACCATCAGTTAACTAATGAAGAATTTGGTGTTTGTCATCAGTAAGTTTTCCTATATTGACTCTAATTTAAACATGATTAAAATCCAAATATTTGGGAGGAGTTAAATTTGATGTGCAACGGAAAAAGTGAAGCTGAGGTTTGAATATTTGCCTGGGGTTCCAGGTAGGTTTCTTTTCTTCTTGGTTGCTTGCTGCTGCTGCTGCTGCTGCTGTTGATTAGTTGATCTATTGGTGTTGCAAGCCCCAGAACTTGAGCCATGCCGCTTTTGTGGCTGTTGTTGCTCGCTTTCTTCATGAACTTCTTCCACAGTGTTTGCTGAGGAGAAACTTCCT